CGGAGGAGGGGGGGGGGCGAAACACACCTACACCCAACCTCAATCGAAATGGAATTTATATAGAAAATATATACGTTTACCAGTGTCCGCTCCCCCTCCCCACTCTCCGAAAAAATTTAGTCCACCCGCGAAATTAAAAAATCCCCCCCCCCCCCCCGGGAGACGAAAGTCTGAAAGAAACATTTACCATAACTAGTCCGATGTAACAAAATGTTGTTTCAGCTACGAGCTTAAAATAAACTTAAATTGAAACACATGTGTAAATGTAATGTTCTTAAGACCATCTGAACACAATTGTTTTCTAACTGAACCATAGGAGATGAAACATTCAAAGCAAGCACACGTGCTAATATATTTTCTTAATGTGCTATAATTATAAAACCTTTAAAATAAAGAACTTTAATTGCTAGTGCTAAAATATCTAATAAAAACAAATTGTCCGACATTCTAACATAACTTTAAACATACAGATTCTTGTTTTCCTATTTCACATAAAGCGAAAAAAAAAAATCGAAATTTAAACACTAAAGCTAAGAACGACAGCAATATTAGCTACGCGATATTTGCAGCGATTACTTTAAAAACGGTTTTTAAAAAAATAAAAGCTAAAATAAATTCGTTTTCGTTTCGAAATGGAATCAAAAGCGCAGGGAAGGGGAGATAATCGGAGAGATCGGTTTACAAATGAGGAACAAGTAGCTAGTGTTTAGTTTCAAGCTCATGATTACTCCCCTTTAGAATCGACGCTATCCTGCACTTCACTTGGCCACTGTGGGAAGAAATCTGGCCAATTAATTTCCCCGGCTTCCACCTTATGTGTTGAACCTTGGGAGGGGACTGTCGGCAGATCGATGTAAACAGACGTTGTCTCAGGTATGAGAATAATCCAATGGTCAAGAGTAAATCATGACAACAACAGGACTAACAGCTTTAAGGATTAAGTACTGATCACTTGATCTTTATGATTTAGCGATAAAAATATGTATCTGTGATCTAGACAAACACTAAAGGAGCGTCATGTTTTACAGCTGTATATTTTTCAATTTCTATTGTTTTTAATTCTTCAATTTCGTTCGCAAAAGATATAAATATCATATTCAAATAAGTATACGTTATATTTACGTATTTTTATTTTATATATATATATATATATATATATATATATATATATATATATATATATATATATATATATATATATATATATATATATATATGTATATATGCGCCTATAATATAGACTATATGTGAGCGTGCTGTGTGCCTCTGTGTATGTCTCAGTGTGTTAATGTATGTGTGCATCTGTCTGTTTGTGTGTGTACCTGTGTGTCTCTATGTATGTGTGTGTGCGTGTGTGTCTATGTGAGTTTGTGATTGCGTGAGTCTGTCTACGTATGTACACGCCCCCCCCTTTCCTTTCTTATACTGTCTATTTAATACCGGCTGTAGAGTTCTAATGTCTGAAAGATTCACAGAAACAACGTGCCTCACAACAGAGAGATTTCCGCACAGGAAAATAATCCCGTTCATCGAGAGAACAGTTTATGGCGAGTCGTCATAACTCTCCGGTTTTACACCCCGTCATTTCCACCATCTCCCCCCCCCCCCCCTCCGGATAACTTCCGCCGTCTTACGCCAATCTGGTTAAAATTTTCATCCATTTTCTGGTGCTCCTCCATCTCAGCTCGTTAGCCCCCCCCCCCCCATATTTCTGGCACATCACCATGTCGGCCGGTCACGTCACCCCTTCCCACCCCCACCCCATCACGTGTCCGGTTCTGTCCGGTGCGAGGAGTTTATGCCGTCATCAGGCCGGCATTACACGGCACACTGGACCGGACGCCGACATAAAGACCCGCAATAACCCGGAGACCCGAAATAACCCGGAGACCCGCAATAACCCGAAAATGCACAGCACTGGAAAAAAGACGCGGTATTGGTACCCAGTGTAATTCAACCGTCTAGACGGCCGCAAATCTTTTTCCCGCGATTTCTAATCTATTACCTAACCCCTGAACGATCAAACCGGAAGTTGATTGTTTTTATTTTACGTCACTTGATCGCTTCAGCGCAAATTATTTCTACCATCAGACTATTTTTCCTGTAAATTCTGTCAAGAAAACTTGTCAAGTAATTCGTCAAGTTTACTTTCCAGCAGTGAACTGAAAATTGTTAGTTTCCAATTAGTTCGGGTTTTTTTTCCCCACCAAAATCTCGTCTAAACTAAAACCATTATCCCCCCCCCCCCTCCCCCCTAATCTCTTAAAAAATTTCAAAGCCTATTTATAAAAACAGACTTTCCCAAATTTCAACAAAGAAATCTAAAACGACTGTATGAGGCAAAATATTTTGATGTTTAAAAATGATATTTTTCGAGAGAAAAAAATGTTTTGAAATGATTTGTCAAACTTTTGTAAAACAAAATGCGAACCTCCACGAGAGCCATGCATATTTCAAAACACTCGAGCACAATCAAAGGACTCAAAGTGCGGTCTTTAAAAAAAATGCTCTTATAAAAATTGTAAAACCATACCAGCCAAGGGATGCAATAAACGAAATAATTATTTTTTTTAAAATTAGATTTTAGCTGGATTTGAAATAAAATCCGAGATTTAAAATGCTGATTTGAAGATTAAAGCATTTACCAACCCACGACCACCCTTTACCCGCCCTAATTATATTTTACCAATGGGAGTTAGGATGTATCCAGATTAGCTTCTCGCTGAAAAAGTTCTCTTTATCTAGTATACTCTAAACGCCATTAACGAGTCTCGAACTGTAAGGCTTACAAAAAAAGACCCCAATAATATCCATACTAAATAAACTCTCTTTATGAGACATCAATGAAGCGGTCCTTATAATAAAAACTAATTGATTCTGTGTCTATAAGTTTTAACCAATCAAACCTGTTCATTGTCTTTGGTAGGTTATATACAAAACTCTATCTCTACAGTAAATTCGATGTCTTGTAATGACATTATAACAGTAAGGTAACTCCAGGTGAAGGAAAATACAAAACGCATCACCTACACCCCCTCCCCACCCCCAGGGTGCATTTTTCTACCGCCATTGTTATCGAGATACCACCCGTGTGCCACCTTGAAGAACCATCCCTACTGTAACAATCTCGTGACAGCGTCACTCTTGCTCGTCAGCCTCTATCGATTGGCTTACGCTGCCAGTGTCATATCACTGTCATCACTGACTACTCGCCACAAGCCCGGTCTTTGTTGTTAGTGACATTGTCGAGCCTCCGGCCATTGTGGAGTACTGACGTTTGAACAATGGCGTCAGCTAATTGAATAAGTTGACTTTTTTGTGTGCGCCGGCTTCTCGTGTGGGTTCTGTCAGGGATGGTTGTTAGACCGTTCTGGTGTGTGACGTCAGGGTTGGTCGTTCAACCATTCAAGTGTTTGAAGTCAGGGTTGGTCGTTCAACCATTCAAGTGTTTGAAGTCAGGGTTGGTCGTTCAACCCTTCAAGTGTTTGAAGTCAGGGTTGGTCGTTCAACCATTCAAGTGTTTGAAGTCAGGGTTGGTTGTTAGACCGTTCAAGTGTTTGAAGTCAGGGTTGGTCGTTCAACCATTCAAGTGTTTGAAGTCAGGGTTAGTCGTTCAACCATTCAAGTTTGTGACATCATGCTTGGTTGTTAGACCGTTCAGGTGTGTTACGATAAGGTTGGTTGTTCAAACCTTTAAGCTTGATAAGTTAGCGCTGGTTGTTAGACCATTCAATTGTGTGACTTCTGGGTTGCTTGTTCAACTATTGAAGTTTATGACGTTAGGGGTTGGTCGTTCAACCACTGAAGTTTTGACGTAGGGTTGGGTTTTTTTGTTATCTTTTACCTTTGTGATGTCAGATGCTAATTGTTCAGCCATTCAAGTTTGTTGCGCCATGGTTGGTTAGTCAACCCTTCAAGCTTCCTACATTAGGGTTGGTTGTTCAACCCTTCAAACGTATGATTATAAGCAGTGTTTAACATTTAACAATCCACAACACCAAAATTTAGCGCTAATGTAGAATGGTAGCATGTTGCTTGCTGTTATGTTTCGGTTGTTGAAATAATTTTAGAATCTAAATACAATATAAATTATAATAGTTCGACAAATGATTTCAGGACAGATGTTCTCAAACAAAGTACACCAGAAGAAAATATCTAAATTAAATTATCTGCGGCCCAAGTAGGCTATCTGAGGAATAATGCTGAATATCTAAAAGACAAAATATCTAAGGCCAAAGTATCTGAGGAATAATGCTGAATAATCTAAGATTTTTCTTCCACTGTCTTAAGATATCAAAATATCTAACGAAATTCGATGAATCCTTTAAGACAATTCGGTTAACAAAAGATCAACATACTCCATAAAGACAGAAACTCATTTACTCTATTGAAAACAATCCCAACCACAGAAAACAAAATAAAGATCTCGTAAAACGATGTATAAAACAAGCCTATACCAAACAATAGACTTTTGCCGAAACCAAATTATCCAATTCAATATGTCTATCGTACACAATGCATGACATATAAGTTAACAATAAGGTAAGAATCGATTTAATTGGCAGATTAGGTAGCGTCATCTGCTAGCGGTTCTTCACCCGCAGTTAATTCGATCATGCTCAAAAATACGAGCTTCAGATTGAACTAATTTACAGCCAATTTTTGAAACCGATTCTTTCATCGAATGAGACATTTATCTTACACAACGGGCATATTCTAAGATCATGTCTGCAGTTGTACAGTTCAGAATTAAATGGTTTATTTATAAATGATGAAACTAGGAGGAGATGTGGATTCGAGTTTCAACATGTAATAAACTCAACCGATAAAACAAGAATAATATTAATCGAAATAAAGACACAAGTAATAAAGTCAACAGAGAATGTGGATTGGAAAAGAGACTCATACATTAAATAAAGTTAATAGAGAATGTGGATTGGAAAAGAGACTCACACATTAAATAAAGTCAACAGAGAATGTGTATCTCAATAGCGACTTACCTTTTTGAATGTGTAAAGTTGAGGTTGACCTTGAAAGGGCTCGGGGCCCTGCTTGCGACCGTACGTGTCAATAAGGTCACTGCTGCTATGCAAGTCCCCGTTGGTCGGCTTAGTGTCAAGGCCCAGCCCTCCCCCTTTCAAGGTCATGCCGGACATCTTCTTCCCGTCCGACTCGGTGGGCGTGACGTCATCGACCGGCACGCTCTGCCACATCTGCTTGTCAAAATGTCTGCCGTCCCCCTGCTCCTGTACTCCCGTCAAGCCGGAAGTCCGGTTGTTGTTGTCCGGCCGCCTCAGCCGGAGAATGATGGTGACGATGATGATAGAGATGACGACAGTGACGCCACCGACGACCCCGGCGATGATGATGTACTTGAGGTCGTCGTCGCCGAACATGTTGGTGGAGTTGCCGCCGTTGCTTTGACGTGACCTCGTCATGCCGTGCCCGTCCACATAGTCCACCTGGATGACAAGCAGCTGCTCGGCGCTTAACATCGGGATACCTTGGTCATGGACGGACACGTTCAGTCGGAACACGCTACTAGCCAGCGTCGTCAGCTCTTTCCGGAGGATGATCTCGCCGGAAGACGGCGACGGAATAGCGAACGCGTTGTCGTCGTTACCAGCGACGATGAAGAACTTGAGCTTGGCGTTGGCTCCGATGTCTTCATCAACGGCGCTGAGTTTGACGACGGCCGTCCCGGGGAGGATGTCGGACCGGAGTCGGATGGTGTTGTTGTGACGTGACGGAAAGATAAAAACTGGACGGTGGTCATTGTAATCAACCACCCGTATCGTGACGGTGGCCGTGGAGCTTCTAGGAGGCTCGCCTTTGTCCTTCACGACGACAGGAAACCAGTAGGAATCCTGACTGTCTTTGTTCAACTTTCTTGACGTTCGAATGTCCCCCGACGGTAAGACAACGAACGGTATATCTTGTTTGTCGGATGAGTCCGTCGGAACGTAAAAAAAAACTTCCGCGTTCCTGCCTTCGTCCCTGTCGTTGGCAAACAGCGTGTCGACCATCGTCGACGCCGGCAGCTTCTCGGCGATTTCAAACTCCAAAGACGACGTAAAATAAGGAACGTTGTCGTTAACGTCGCCAATGTCCACGATCACCGACGCGTTTCCGACCCTCCCGCCGCCATCGCGGGCTGTGACCATGAACGACATTTGAGAAATGGTCTCGCGGTCGAACTCCACCCCGGCGGTGATGGCGCCGGTGATCTCGTCAATGTTAAACGCCGCGCCCATGGAGAGGTTGTAGCGCACCTCGGCGTTAACCCCAACATCGGCATCGTGCGCTTTAACAAACAGAACGTGTTGTCCCCTCCTGTTGTTTTCGGTCAGGTTCGCCCTGTAGATGTTTAATTCAAACACCGGATTGTTGTCGTTGTCGTCGATTAATTTAATAATAAACCACCCCCTGGCCGAGAGCTTGGGCGTGCCCCTGTCCTCACAGATGATGGTCACGTTCACCTGTTCATTCCTCTCGCGGTCAAGCTTCTCGTTCAGCAGCACCAGGTACCCCACCCCGTCCAGCCGCTTGACGCGGAACTGGGACGTGCTGCTGTAGCAGTCGACGATGCCGTTGCTGCCCTCGTCGCGGTCTTCCGTCCGGACGTGGGCGACGACCGTCTCCAGGTCCGACTTCTCGGACAGGTGGAGAATGTTGCCGTCTGGGTTGGGGACGGGGTTGATGGTCATTAGGGGCGGGGTGTTGCCCACGTCCAGGATCTTCAGGATCAGGATCTTTTGGGACCTCTGTGGACGGGCCAAAGCTTTATGTTTAAAAACATCAAACTAGTTTAGGTACCCCAACTACACCATTCAATCTTAACAAATACGTTCTTCAAAAACTAACAAGAAAACGATGTATTAGAGGTTTTATTTTTACGCCAGTATCAAGATTAGCGCAAGTATAAGGGCTAATCTTAGGTCAGAATATATAGACATTCCATCCTTATTTAAGGAAAGAAACATTAATTAGTACCGGTCTAATAAAATCAATACAAATATTTTCTTAGAGTACATCTAATGAAATAAGTAAACATCCCCAGCGGCGTATGATGCCTGCAGGTACAAGTTTCCCTAGATATACTCTAATAGTTGAAGATGGCTGACCATCACGAGATAGCAATTAACTGAGTGTTGCGTAATTTCCATCTTCACTCCACAACAACACACGGACAATCAATGCTATATTTACTTTAGTTTTCGTTTCTCACCAAGTTTATGTCTATCCTTCTAAAACATAATCCTATAACCCTGATTCTTCGTAACTTAATTTCGACCGGATGAGAAACTCTTGTAAATAAAAACATCTCCTGTTGTTTTTTATGGTGATAAAACCTTACATTAGAAACGTTAATTGAATTTATTTTTTCTATAGGATTTCACATATTGATCTACATAATTTCATTAGTTTTATTTCTCAACAATATAAAACACTGAATGTCTGTTATTTAGCTTTGTGAAATTCAAGTTTACAAAAGAAGTTAAAAAAATATATAATTATATTGATAAAAAAGTAATCAGGTATTGGACATTTGATGTGTAGTCTTTTCCACATATTGCATTAGGCATCGTTTGCAGTTTCGTTTTTCAACATAAGTCATGGGTTATTATAAAAATGCTGAAAATACTTAAAGTTGTTTTTTTTTCTTTTGTACCTTACATTGCCCGATGTTTTCAAGTAAAGGTAATAAGCCCTGAAACGTTAAAGTCTTGTATTCCTTTAAACTTACCATCGTCCACTCCCCTCACACAACATACAACAACAAATACAAATACTTAACCAATCATTAATTTTCATGAACCTAACATTGTCCCCTCTACCACCGCTTAGCTAAAAGCCAAAAAACTTTACCAGTTTGTATTGCAGTAAACCTAACATTATCCAAAAAGCCCAAAAGCTTTACCAGTCTACTATTAAACATATCATCGGCCAAAAGCCAAAAAAACTTTACCAGTCCAGTTTTAAAGCTAACATTGCCCAAAAGCCAAAAAAACTTTACCAGTCCAGTACTAAAGCTAACATTGCCCAAAAGCCTAAAAAACTTTACCAGTCTAGTATTAAATCTATTGCCCAAAAGCGTAAAAAAATACTTTACCAGTCTGGGGTTGCCCCTATCCTCCGCCATGACGATGGTCTCAAACGTCTTTCCCCCGTCGTACTGAAGGCTTTTCTTGACCATGATGTCGCCGCTCTGGGAGTCGATGTAGAAGAGGGCGTCTACCTGCGGCGTCTTGCCGGGGTTCAGCTCGTACGTGATCTCCGCATTGTCCCCAAGGTCAGCGTCAGTGGCCGTCACCGTCCCCACCACCGACCCCACCTGAAGGAAACAGGAGGATGTTATAACAAGCAAAAATAATCAAAGAATCATGCACTACATATACAAAATTAACAGAAATAAAAATCTATCTATAAATCTATATATAATTCTCTTCATGGAGACCATAGAAAACACCACGTAGCTTAGCCACCACCCTCATCCCCACCTTTCAGGTGAGCTGTGGTTCACCCCGAATGTTTACAATCGTAGAGCCGGTTCGAATTTGTGACGGCAATTAAGAGCAGATAATATAGTTTTTAAACGATTTGAAACTAAGTGGAGATAATAAGTTTTGTCGCCTGTAAACGGCTGCTTTCACTGGGCGGGGTCGGGTGGGGGAGGCAGGGGTGGGGTAGTGTGGAATTTACAAATTAGGAATTGTTGATAAGTAGAAAATAAAACAACTAGATAGCGACGTATGCTACGTCGCGGGTCAGCTCGTATCAGATATTGAAACTGAGGTAGGAGAAGCAACTAATACAACATTCAGGTCTAACTTTAATAAACACTTGTAGTTCATTATGAGAAAATAAAACTAAAATAAACGCCTTCCTTATGCTTCTGTTCTCATTGTTCACGACAGACAACAAACACTCATACGACTTAACAGCGACAAATGTATAACATAGTAATGGCAATTTTCGCAATATATTATCAACAAATTTTGCGACATGTTAGCAAAAAAAATGGAAGATTAGGGTCATAAAACGTTGGCCTTATTAGCAAAAAAAAGTGTTCAGCCTTTTAGCACTTTATATTTTAAGGCCTTAATTTTTGAGTTTCGCATTATGCTTCTTTTTGTCATGCGAGTATCATTAGCTTAAGAGCTGTCATATAATGTAATGTTGTTTTATTTTATTTGTCAAATTAATTCCAAGAAATTCATCTAATCCGCTGTCTACGAGGAAATTATGGAATACTATCAAAATAAAATATTATGTTTGAAATTTTAAATCTTAAAATCACTCCAACAAAAACTGTATTATGAATTTGTATAATGGCTAATATATTTAATATTTTGTATAAACGGGAAATAAAGAAATGTAAGTTTTAGCAGGGGCAGACCAATACAGGCAGCAGTCATTTACGGCAGGGATGAGAGAACCTGTAGACAGGTGCTTGAGGAGATAACTCGTCAACATGCCTGCACATTCGATTCAAACCACGTTGAATCGCTCCGAGTTATCTGCTGTTCCCTTACTAAAGCCATCGTTTCGTTGTTGTGGGCAACAAGAAATAGTCTTTCAATACAATGCTGTACAGAATTCGATTTACACAATACATTGTTGCCAGGTTTTCGAATATTTTTATTTAAATTGTGTTCAAAACTAAACTCTAAGCACGTCTATAAAAACATACTTCAAATGTTCAAAACTGAACTGTAAGCAAGTCTAAAAAACTACTTAAAATGGTACTGAGAATCGTCCCCAAGGGAGTTTTGTCTAAGCCTATGTCTAAGTCTATGTCTAAGCCTATTTCTAAGCCTACGTCGGGTAAAATGTACCGAACGAAAGATGAAATGATCCCTGACTAAACCCCACCCAATATAGCCCTCCTTGCTCTTAAAATGGGCAACTTTCACTGTGATACACATATCGATAGTGATAACCCCTATTCGGTATGACGCAGCGAGATTAACAAACCCAACCACGCTACCACCAGTCCACCAAGCCTCTCATTTCTTGCTTGATACATTTAGTAAACTACCCCCTATCATTACTTTGTAAACATCCATATCAATCGCATCAATATAACTTTCATAAACCCCTGCTCCCATAGTAGCCTACTCTCTGTCATAAACATAATAGTTCATGGCAGCCAGTTTTTCGTGTAATCTCCATCCTCCTTGGCTTTAAACTTTGTATACGTTACCACACTCTCTTTATATCCCTTTGAATACAGCACCCACGTGCTACGCTATTTATAGCACCCATCTCTCTGTAATCATCACCGTTCAAGCGCCCATCACGTGCGCCTCTCACCCCAACAGGAAACCTGTCAACCTGCCAACCCCAGTACTCACCCTCGCCTCCTCTGACACGGAGAACTCGTAGACGTTCTCGGAAAAGCTCGGCACGTTGTCGTTGATGTCCGTGACGTTGATGAGCACCGTGACGTTGCCGGACCTCTGCGGCGTGCCGCTGTCCTTGGCGATGATGTACAACATGTACCTGTCCTTGACCTCCCGGTCCAGGATCTTAAGAATAACGATGGACAGGTCCCAGGTTCCGTCCAGCTTCATCTCCGACCTCAACTCGAACATGTCGTTGTAATCAGACTTCATCTCGTAACTGGTCACGGAGTTCTGTTCGCCCTTGTCCTTGTCCGTGGCGCCGTCTATCCTGTACTCGCTGTTGGCTGTTCCCCCTTCCGGCACGTACAGCGTGATGTTGTCGTGGGGAAACCGCGGCGCGTTGTCGTTAATGTCCTCGATGATGATGCGGACGTTGATGAACTCGAAGAAGTTGGAGATGGTCGAGGTCACCGTGACCTCGAACTCGATGTTGCAGTCCTTCTGGAACTGGCAGACGCTCTCGCGGTCGATCATGGCGGTGGTGTAGATGGCGCCGTTGTCGCTGTTGATGCTGAACAAGGACGCGATCTGCAGGAGGTTGTTCTGGCTGAGGAACTTGAAGCTGAGCTTCGACAGCTCGCGGGAGGAGACCTTCTGCGCGATGTTGGCTTTGGTCATGATGCTGCCGACATTGGTCCCGGAGATCATCTGCTCTTTGATGCGGAACTCGACCCTGTTGTTCTGTGCACTGACACCTGGGTTCATGTTCCAAAGCCAGATAAAAGCCAGCAGCGCCGCGTGCGGTAACGTCATGGTTGAAACCACCTCTTGTACACCCGACACCAGCTTGGATCAGACACACCGACACTCCGACACGCCGACACTCAGACAGATAAAATCATCGTCTGCAATCCAGCCCGCGTTTAACGCATCGATGCCGCTCTTCAAAGATGCCCCCGGTCCGTATCACGTAACACGGGGTTCCTGTCAACCCGACGTCAAAGACCCGAGTATCTAAACAATGTTTCAGAACTTCCGATGATTGCGTCAGACAGAACCTTACACCCGGAAGAGATGAATAATTGATCGATGCCTTCCTCTTTACGTAAGGATTTCTCTCCCCTTGTATAGCTGCTAAGTCCCGCTGTTAATTTCCCAGAGGCTTACTCCTATGTACTGCTCCTGTGGCACCACACACCAGGCCGGGCTATGATTGGACCTACTGTCTTTTCTTTTATTCAAGACAGCAATTAAGTCAGCTTTGTAGCGGAGCTTCCTGTCGGTCCTACAAATCTTACCTGAAATAGAAAAAGAAAAAACTTCCGTCAAATTACATTGAAAGGATTCGTTTCGTTTTTTTATTTTTTGTGTTTCTAGAAAATTGTAGAGTGTATTACTCAGCTGTAAACATCTTGCTTTATATAAACACACACACACAGACATATATATATATATATATATATATATATATATATATATATATATATATATATATATATATATATATATATATATATATATATATATATATATATATATATATATATATATATATATATATATATATATATATATACTAGCCGTCCCGGCCAGGCCCTGCTCTGGCTTCTGTGAAAAACCTTTCTGTTAAAGACCATTACCTGTGTGTTTAGTAATCATCATAAACCCGGCATTGCTCACCTAAACCACGACCAACCAAAACCAAAACAACAAAACGCAAACATAACGCTAACACAATTACAAATACAAACGAAAACAAAAACCTAGCAACAAACCCAACCACAACCACAAACACCAATACAAACACAAAGAAAAAACAAACGAAAACAAAAACCTAACAACAAACCCAACCACAAACACCAATACCAAAAAAAAAAAAATAAACAACGAAAAAGCAAACGAAAACAAACCAAATCCAAACGCAAAACCAACCAAAAACACAAATACAAACCCAAACAAAAAAAAACACAAACAAAAACGAAAAAAGAAAGAACAAAAACGAACCAAATCAAAACGCAACCACTAACGCAAACCCACCTAAACACAAAGAAAACACTAACGCGAACATAAACGCCCGGGGCAGAATCGCCTGTTTTAGCTTAATGAACGACTATAGTACCCCAACTTATTCATAGTTTTTGCACTCACTTAAACGAACGCGCCTGTTTCGATTTAATGAACAATTATAATACGCCAAGCTTATCCGTAAAATACCTACAACATTTGCACTTGATCAATCCCCGCTAATTATGTAATTATTTTTTTCCCAACACCAAAACAAAGTAATTAAAAAGTAAATGCTTTTCAACTAATGCAATGGTTTTATAAAGGGAAGTAATTGTGTTTTGCCTAATTTATCAAAGGGAAGTAAGCGCTTTAGGACTAAATAAAGACATAATTAGAATTTTTGTAAAAGATGATATTTTTTTAAAACTTGTGTTTAATTGCTGTAATTTGAAAAATGAAAATGATTTCCCAACACTTTTAATAGTAATTTTTTAACTCATAAATTTAGACAAATGCGCACGATAATTTTCTAACACTTAAATCCATCGATAACCAGCGACAAACAAACATATGCGTTACAGAATTGAGCTTTATATATTAGATATATATATATATATATATATATATATATATATATATATATATATATATATAAATTACATGTATATATATGTGTGTGTATATTTATATATATATAAATATATGTGTGTGTGTCTGTATAATCATATCCATACAAATCAATCAATTGAAAAGTAAAATAAATGACATGAAAGGGTGATGTAGTATGTAACAAACGGATTATATGCTCAGTGACTCTAAGGGATTAAGGTGGTCAGTGACACAATGGGATTATGTGGTTATTGGCATATACGGATTATGCGGTATCTATATATATAATTCTCTTCTTCGAGCCGTTAGAAAACAAGCTGCAAACGCTCTCCCTACCTCCCCACCCCTACATGGTTTTAGTGAGCTGTGTTCACTCTAAATGTTTACAAGCAGAGCCAACGATTTTAAACGTAGGGGGGGGGGGGGAGGAGGGGGGGAGGGAAGGAAGGGGGGGGGGGGGTTATGGTCCTTAACGAGCTACTTATAGTGTTTTAAAGAAATATTTTCAGTGTCAGCGTTGGTACTGTCGAATTCACAAATTATGAATTATTGAAAATTAGAAACAACTAAATAGCGGCGTATGTTATGCCGCGGGCCGGCTCGTCTATTATACAAAGTCTCCGTATATCGCCAAACGTCTGGTATATAGTTGCATTTAAGGGTTTTGTTGCCAGTACAGGGTTAGTTCCAACCCTCGACCGCATGTCCGGGCTAGTTTAAACAATAAAAACCTCAACGATAAAACTTAACGGGTTAAAATAAGAGCTGACCCCCTGCCCCACCACCCCTCCACTTAACACACCCATTTCCCTATGCAGTCCAGCTCTCAGAAGCCGGAGAACACCGGCTTCCTGAAGTCTAATGACTCTCGCACCATTGGACAAAAAGACAAAAAACGTCGAACCCATAATAAAGACGAGTTCTGAGAAATCGATGTGGTATTTTTTTAAAAAGATCGATTACAATCTAGGACCGAATAAGAATCGATGTTTTGCTTTTAAATTTTAAAGAAATGCGTGTGAAATAAAACAAAATACGACGTCCAAACCTTCGTTGAATTAACAGTCACTCATCGATAACGATTCTACTATACTGCCCTCTGTTGCAAAGTCGTAGTGGAAAATAACAATAGCTGTTAATTAATGAGGTTAATAATTAATTACCACTGATGGGGCACGTGCTGAATATAGGTCAACAGTATCGATACCTTTCTCGTCGAGTACTGGTCGAAAATAGCCAGTATTGTTAAGTCTATCCGCTTACGAGTGGATTAAACCCTAACGTCTGAATTCTGGAAGACTAACTTATACATTTTGTTTTCGGAAATCCAACGTTTGAGGATTGACTAACTATAACATTAAGTTTGAAGGCAGATTATTGCTAACTAGAACAGGTTTGGGTCTACTCAAATTAAACCTAACATATGACTGAAATCCGAAACTAAGGTCTGAAATCCGAAAGAACCGAACAGTTTAAGTAAGAATTGTAAACATTTCTTACATAAGAAAATTATATCTAAATAGATACAGGTCATTCGGGTACCAAAAAAACCATCTTGGTCATTTCAGCACGAAGAAGTCGTGGTCATTTAGTTCGTGGTCATTTAGGTACAGGAAAGAAATGTTCGCCCCTTCTCGGCCAAAGTAGGTTAACTCTAATGAGCCATGCGCCTTCTAATGAGCCATGAGCCCCAACACGAAGTGCTAATCAAATAGTACCGGCCTTATTTTCGAAGCAAAAATAACCGGCTTAGTCCGGCACCCTAACCGGCTTAGTCCGGCACCATTAGAGCATCTCATGTCTGACCGTCTGTCCCGACCCACTCAGCTAGCCGGCAGCCGGAGAGAAGCCATCAGCAAATATAGGTCAGATACTCTCCCCCACCCATCAACACCCCGACCCGACCCCACCCACACCCGTCACCCTAACTCCACCTTCTGCGTTGCAATGACGCTCTCATCGATTCAGCAGTTAAAAATTTGGGTACTCCTACTGAAAGGACGCACTTCCGGCGTCTCAAAGCACTTCCTGCGACTCATCAAACTTATCAACCTAAAGTTTGACGGCTGTGACGTCAGTTTCTCGTCTGCTACATAAACATCTTGAAATTCCTTCCGTTCGTGTATTTTGATATAAATAATAAACAAAATATAGTATAAAATGTTATGTCAATAGTCAACGAGTTACAAGTAAACAAAATTTACAGAAGTTAAAAACAAACAAAAAAAAAACACCACAAATATAAACCCAATAGAAAGATTAGCCTTTTAATAGTGTTGTAAAATTGGTAAACAGAATTCGCTTTTCAGTGGTAAAAAACGCAATAACTAACTTCTAAATTTCCAATCGGAGAATATTTTTTTTTAAAATCATACAATCTCTGTATGTTAGATCCGGCGACCGTTAGACACATGAAGTAGAGCCAGGTGTTTATAATATCCCCAAAATGTCAACTATATTTTCTTTGTTGCCGTCGGCACGAATCATTGTTCTTTTTGGTTCCATTAGGAACATAGGGCCTGCGTCCTCGTTTTCCATTCCTCGGACTGTTAGGAGTTAATGCAGCGTAGCATTCAAGTGCAACCCGAATCTTAACAATCCACCAGTAGCTATTTTATATTGACGTTTCATAAACTCAAATGTTGTGTAGTGTAGAAAAAGAAGAATAATAAAGATCTTTTAAACGTCAATGGTTTTATATGGAATTGATATGCCGTTTTAAACCATATATTTAAATTGGATAGGTTTCAAATGCATGAGTTGTATTACACTTAGAAAAAAATATTGACGAGGTTTAAATAGATCGTCTGGTTAAAAAATTAATTGGAGTTAATCCGACACGACAAGCGAGGCACAGGAGCCTTGTCACATGACCGTGAGTTGCAGCTTGGCGCGTGCACAAGGTTGGATTTCGTTAATTGTTTAATTAGATTGTGTTGATTAAGTACCTGTCTAGGTTATTCCATCTCCGGTGATGCTCTAAATCCAACTCCGCTAAGCCAAAGATCAACCAAACCCGAAATTGGATTTTGGTTGGAAATGTAAGCCTATGGTGGGAGACTAGAGACAACGTAATTTTTTTTTTGTAGCGAGGTCATCGAGATTATAAAGATGGCGGCC